TGCGAGGGCGGCAGGCTGCCTGCCTTCGGCGGCATGCCTGCGGGAGGTCCGCCAGTCCCGTGGATTCGGCGGTGGGTACGCCGAAGCCGCGGGACCGGCGGACCTCCCGCAGGCACGCCGCTGAATCCGTGGGACCGGGGACCTCCCGCAGGCAAGCCGCCGAAGGCAGCCTGCCTGCCGTGCTTGGGGCGGCTCTAGCTTTTTTGCCGCCCCTGAGCATGGTCAACAGAACTGCTCATACCGCTGTGCTCTAAAGGGGACCTGCCCTGGAAGAGTGAGCCCATATCATAAACATACAGCTAAGGGTAGCATAAAATCCCTTCTTTACCTGTAAAGCGTTAAGAAGCTGAGATAACCTGGTTGGCACCTGACCAGAAGGACTAATGGGGAAAGAAGATACTTTCAAATCGGGGTGGGGGGAGAGAGAGCTTTGTTTTGTGCTCTGTAGGTGTTCTCTCGGGAGACAAAGCGAGAGACCAAGCAAGTAATCCAGCTCCTACTGAAATGATACATCTAATATTACAGAAATAGTAAGTAATAGCAGGGAAATGCGTCAGAGTATCTTTTGTTTTAGCTTGTGAATTTTCCCTGTGCTAAGAGGGAGGTTTATCCCTGTTTTTGTAACTTTAAAGTTTTGCCTAGAGGGGAAATCCTCTGTGTTTTGAATCTTTTTGTTACCCTGTAAAGTTGTCTTCCATCCTGATTGTACAGAGGTGATTTTTTTTTTAAACTTCTTTTAAGAACCTGATTGATTTTCAGTGTCCTAAAGATCCAGGGGATTTGATCTGTGCTCACTTTGTAACCAATTGGTGAGGATATTATTCTCAAGCTTCCCCAGGAAAGGAGGTGTAGGGGATTGGGGGGATATTTTGGGAGAGGTAGGGCTCCAAGTGGTCCTCCCTGAATGTTTGTTTAAATCACTTGGTGGTGGCAGCGATACCAAGGGCAAGGAAGGAATTTGTGCCTTGGGGAAGTTTTAAACCTAAGCTGGTAGAAATAAGCTTAGGGGTTTTTTCATGTGGGTCCCCACATCTCTACCCCAGAGTTCAGAGTGGGGAGGGAACCCTGACAACCCACCCCCACTGCAGCAGCCAGGGAGGTCTGGGGGGAGCAGAGAGCTGACAAGCATGCTGCAGCCAGAGGGGGTGGGGAAGGGTTTCACATCCATCCCTGGCTAGTAGGTGCCCAAGTGCGAAGAACGGAGCCCCCCCCCCCCCAAGAGATTGGTAGGGAGGAGGCGGGAGAATGGACTTCCTCCTGGTTGGAGCGCCCAGCTGTCAGCTCAGACTCTGCAGGTTCCTATAGTTCCACTGAAAGGACTGGGGGACAGTGGGAGACTGACAGATACCCAGGCCAGTAGGGCCCTCAGGGGAATTGTGAGGTGGGCCTAGCGGGATCGAAGCAGGAGGGGAGGAGGGTGGAGAGTATCCCTGCCTGCCAGGCTCACCTCTGAGCTTTGCTCACTCCTCATGTGCTCACCCCAGGCTAGTGGGGACAGCTCACTGTTTTCACCACCGCTCTCCCGTGATTGTGCCAGTGCTAGCCCCTCGTGCAGATGTGGTGTGCAGCAGTGCAGCACGACGTGCACTGGTGCAGCTTCTCCGGGGCGTTAAACAGGGTCAGACACATGGGTGACAGTCATGTTTGCACAGAGGCACTGATCTCAGTGGCTGAACTCCCAGTGACACCAGGCGTGGCCGCGATGGGCAGTTTGAGCTGGTCTCTCCTGCTTAAGGCTTGAAGTTGCAGGGTAGCTAGGAAGGTAGGGCCAGATTGCCTCAGATTGCCAGAAGCTAGGAGTGGACGACAGGAGATGGATCACACTTGATGACTGCATGTTCTGTTCCTTCCCCTTTAAGCGTCTGGCACTGACCACTGGCGGAAGACAGGATACTGGGCTAGATGGACCATTAGTCTGGCCGTTCTTATTGTGGCCTGCCTCTTAAGGGGGTGCCCAAAAGGCAAGGAGAGACCCCAGCACAGGAGCTAACCACACAGTGACTCACCAGGACTGGTACTAGGCAGCACTGCGACCAACCGCAAAGGGTCCGGGTCATAGCCCCAATCCTCCTCCACGCCAGGCTGCAGAATGGGTGGCTACACCTGGAGCCCGGTGCAGATACACGAGCCCCACCAGAATGCCAGTCTAGCCCTGCCAGCCGGTATTCCTGCCCAGAGCACACACGGCTACTGCACCCAACAGAGCAGGCTCTCTGTGCCGAAATGCTGCTGGGGGTGCCCAGGGAGCCGGAGAGCTCTCAGCCCTGCATTCTTCTCTTGGACTAAAGCAGGGTTTCAGGTTTGGTCCTCACTTACACCAGCACAACCCCATCACACCGGTGTAACTGGGAGCAGAATTTACTCCGTTGCATCTAATTTTATAGCCCAGCCCACGAGCATGTCACCAAGGAACCGCGGCTCTCCCAGGAGCCAAATATTCAAGAGGGGCTTAAACTCTGAAGAGGACGGACGTGGCACGTCTGTCATTACACAGGCTAGGTGGCTACACAGAACCAATGTAAGGAGTGACAGATGTCTCATGGGAAACTCCGAGACGTCATTCTCTTTCAAAGCAATGCTGCTGGTGAATCAGATAGCAGGGCTTGAGCAATGCCAGCCAGACAGCTGTATAAAACAATGCCAGGTATCTACAGGCCAGAGGCACTTCCTGGAGAGAAGCCCTATTGCCCTCAACCTCCAAAATGGTGGTACGGTAGTGAAGGGTGATAAGATGCATGCCAGGGTGGAACATCTTTATCAGCCTCTGGCTGGCGGGTCTCTGATAGGTTTGAAGTGCTTAGACCTCTTCTGGCTATTGCCAATGAGGAGCATCCTACCCCTCTGGCTGCTGGTGTGGGAATCAGGAAAATCTTCAATATTCTACCCTCTCCAGCTTCTTGGTTGCTGTGATGGAGAAGGAGGTTTCAAATACTCTACCACTACCACAAGCAGCTCCTGCAATGGGGGCATTTCCCTCACCTCAGCTTTGAGTCCTCTTTCTCCTACCCCACTGAATAGTGTCAGTGCATGCTTCTGCTGCAGGTTGAGAAAGCTATGGGTAGCCGCAAAGGC